CCGGCCCTCCCCGGCGCCCGCGGGCGCGCACGCGCGTCCTGGCACCGCCCGCCCCTCGGCACGAGACCCTCATCGCGCCCAGGGCGCTGGGGGAGGGGGTGCCGACATCGCTCCCCCGTTCCCTCCCGCGCGCGCAGATTACCGACTCGCAGCCTCCTCCCCTCAGGCACCGCGGCCTGCCACTCACCATGTTTCCGGAAGCGAAAAGGAAAGAGCACGGAGAGCCCGAAAAAACGAGAGCCGCTGCAGCTGCTGCCGGGATCCGACTGAACGCGGCCTCTCCCGGCCCCTTCCGTTTAGTATGAGCCGCACAATGAGGGGCGGGGCGGGCTTCCGGCGGCCCCCCCCCCCGCGGGCCGACGGGAAATGAAGTCCGAGAGTCCTGGGCCGTTCTCGGGCTCGCTGGGTAATAGAGTTTTTTGAGTCAGCTGGCCTCCCCGCGCCACATTGCATTCCGGGAAATGGAGTCCGCGACAGCCGAGAGGGGCGGGGCTATGGCACGGAGAGCGCGCCCATTGGTCAAATTTCCTAGGAAACGCTCCGAGCTGCGCAAAGGCCCAGGATCTGGGTAATATGAGCCGAAAATGAGCCCTGACTTCGCGGGTCTTTCCCCCGTAGCGAAGGGGTTTTCCTAAGATCTATCTTGGAACTTTCTGGTTCCCTTGGTCTGAAAATCTTTTTTTTTTTTTTTTTAAGATTTTATTTATTCAGTTTTTTTCCCCCCAAAGCCCCAGCAGACAGTTGTATGTCATAGGTTCACATCCTTCTAGTTGCTGTACGTGGGACTCGGCCTCACGTTGGACGGAGAAGTGGTGCCTCGGGGCGCTCCCGGGATCCGAACCCAGGCTGCCAGCATCAGAGCGCGCGCACTTAACCGCTAAGCCACGGAGCCAGCCCTAGTCTGAAAATCTTGAGTGAGTTAATATTTTGCTTTTCTGAATCGAAGCAACTATTCATTGGCCTGGAATCCAGTCTTAGAACAAGGAGAATCGCAAGTATAAGGCGCCTTCAATCCAATAAACATTCACCGAGCACCCTCCATGTGCAAAGCCACTCTTGTCTACTGAGAAAAGGCCATATGTAACTTAAATAAAATAAGAGGAAAAAACACAAGGGAAAGGCCACAAGGAAATCTTTGAAAATAGAGCTTTGTCCTTGTTTTAAAGATGTTTGGCAAATTCACGAGGCAATAAAGGGAGAGGGGCAGGGGTTTGTGCATTCAGTTCAAGGATTATGTGCCTTTTACTAGACAGTGAAAAGAGGAAATAGATATTAAACCAGACTTGAATCTCGTTCTCGAGTTCATAGCCAGGCATATCGTTAATTTAATACCTTCAAATTGAGACACAAACTCTGTGGGAGATGAGCTTCAAAAAAAGAAGCTGGGGTGGGGGACTCCAGGAAGATTTCGTTGACCTCGAACAATGACCATGGCCTCACACTTCGCAGGAGGAGAGAGGGTCGCAAACAAGGGAACTGGGGGCATTGATCCCATAAGCGGAATAAAGGGTGTAAATGAAGAGCTGGAAGCTCGGTCTTCACCACCTGGGGAGCCATGCCCGCGAGTGGGGTGCCTCGCAGAGCATGCCGGGGGTTGTAGTTGGGGACATGCCGCCGCACCGCCTACCAACCGAGCTCCCAGGAGCTCCAGGTGGAGGCCGCAGCTCGACTCCCGCCTCTCGCAAGCGACCCTGCCAGAAGAAGAGGCTGGCTGCATCGTTTTCGAGCCTCGGAGTTTCCAAGAGCAACGAGGAGGGGGAGGAGGACTTCGCAGTTACCCTGGAGACGCGCTTTCGCCCGCCCCTAGCCGCGGGATGCCCTAGATGCCCTTATTAGGACAAGAGACTAGAGGGGGCGGGGCCACCCCAAACGCCGGCTGGAGGCTCCTTATAAGGCAGTGTCGGGCGGGAGGCGGGAGTTTGGAGGTGGCTGGGTGGAGTCTGCAGGGGCGAGCCTGGAGCTCCGGCGCCCGCCTCTCCGCTCCTCGAAGGCCCCAAACATGCACGTCGCGGCTTCCCATGTAACAGCTGGGGGCTGTTCCAACTCCCTGGCGAGACTCTCGTGTCTCTCAACTTGGGGACCCCTTTGCACAGTTTCCATCTTAAACGTCCCTGAGGGCCCCCACCTCCAATGAGTCACAAAAACGGCGAAGTGTTCTCCCCTTCCACTCTTGTCTGGGCTCCTTACACCCAGCCTGCTCCCCTGAATCCAACCACGTGCCCATTTCAGCACTCCCCCACTTGCCCTAATGTCCAGCAACTCCTATTTGTCCCCCTTCTACTTGTCCTCTGTCCCCCTCCCCCCTGTCCTCCTAGCTTTGGTCTTCCCTGCACATCGCCGACTTCGCGCCCCTCCCCCACTGCCCTGTGGTTCCCCGGCACTCCCACCGCCCAGCTCTGGATCACCATTTCCTCGGAGGGTCCTTCAGCTCTTCCTGTGTTACCTTTGTGTCCTTATCCCCTGTACCCCTTGCTAGATGTCCCTCCTGCAAATACACCTGCAGCCATTTGTCCCCAACCCCCATCACCTCTCGGGCTCTACACAAGCCCAACCTTTCTCCAGCCTTCTCCGCAAGGGTGAGGCTGAAATTGACAGCCTCAGGTTATTTAGTTAAGCACCGCCCCAGCCAGCCCTCCCAGCCACAGGGGGCGCTGTCCGCCCTCCTCTCGCCTGCACAAAGCGGACCCCGCTCTCGAATCTGGGGTGGGAGGAAGAGGCGGGTCAAGGCTCCGGGGCCCTGGGTGGGGCGCGTCCAAAAAACTTGTCTGGCCCGGAGGGGCGGGGGGGGTGGGGGGCGAAAGGCCGTAGAGACAGCGCTCGGCACCAACCACTTAGAGTAGCGCAGGGGCGGGGAGGGCAGCAGGAGGCTATCCTCTAGTTAGTGCCCCGCATAGGACCACGTGATTGGAGAGGTCCCGCCCTCACCCACCCGAGCCAGGTGTTCGAATCCCGTCTCCGAAACTGGCGGCGTCTCCGTCCCGCCGGCGTGAGGCGCCAAAGGACCCGCCCTGGGGCTCATGGCGGCGCCGGTCCGCCTGGGCCGGAAACGCCCGCTGCCGGTTTGCCCCAACCCGCTCTTCGTACGCTGGCTTACCGAGTGGCGGGACGAGGCAGCCAGCAGGGGGCGCCGCACGCAGTTCGTGTTTCAGAAGGTGGGTCCCGGCCCGGCCTGATGCGGATAGGTGCTGGTGGAGTCAGACGACCAGGCCCGCCCTGACCCGGTACCGTACCCCTGCCCTCGCCAGGCGCTGCGCTCCCTCCGGCGGTACCCACTGCCCCTGCGCAGCGGCAAGGAAGCTAAGATCCTACAGCACTTCGGAGACGGGCTTTGCCGGATGCTGGACCAGCGGCTGCAGCAGCACCGAGCATCGGGCGGTGAGCGCTTGGGGCAGGGGTTGGTGGTCCCGAGCCTCCCCCCAGATGCAGCCTCCGTAACCACCTGGGATACCCTGGCTTCAAGCTCTGCACTCCTGCCCCCAAGGTGCTGTTTGACCTAGCTGGTGGCTGGCTCTCAGAGCCTCGCCGCTCTCATCTACCACATAGGCTGACAGCGTCCCAGACCCTCCCACCTGCTGGATTCTGCGGGGTCCGGGGTTGACTCTCTTCTCCTCCCGCAGATGATCATGCCCCGGGGTCACCATCTGGAGCAAAGAGTCCAGCTCCGGAAGGGCCAACTGCCGAAGTCCAGGACCCTTCCATGCCAGTGAGGAGGGGGCAAGGGGAGTGGAAGGGACAGTGGGAGCACCAGGAGTAAGATCTTTGGGCTTGAGGGACTTAACAGGCCTGAGTCCCCGTCTCCCCACCAGTGATGCCTGGCCTTGGGCAAATGACTTATTTTCTCTGACACTGAGTCATCTTATCTGCAGGTGGGGCTGTTGATTAATAACAGTCAGTGGAGAGAGTTCCATTATCAAGTTATTTAGGGGGCCAAGCCCAGTAAGGTGTAGGGGTTGCAGTTACCTAGAGTTTTCTTGCCTTACCACTTCTGTCCTGCAGTGGGTGGTAGAACTGAGTCTAGGCCAGGCAGATTACACCCCCCCAGTCCCACCCCCACCCCACCCCACCCCGCTGCAACTGTCCACCGTCTCATCCCAGCTTTGCAGGAGATCATCCCATCATCTGGCCCATTTTACAGATAAGGAAACTGAGAGGTAGCTGAGTGACTTGCCCAGAGCCATGTAGTCTGCTGAGATAGAGCCTGAACCTCAACCCTGCCAGGGATTCAGTCTACAATGGCTGATGGCCCCTCTGTACCTTTCAGGTTCCTGCTCAGCCCAAAGCAGGAGGCTCGGGCAGCTACTGGCCAGCTCGGCACTCGGGAGCACGAGCGATACTGCTGCTGCTCTACAGGGAGCAGCTGGTGAGTGCCTGGCTGCACCGGGAGTCAGGAACCGAGGCAGTGGGGTGTGAGGAGGCTGGCCGGGCACTCAACATTTCTGCCTTGGTTACAGAATCCTAGTGGCCACAGCTTCCTAACCAAGGAGGAGCTGCTGCGGAGGTGTGCCCAGAAGGCTCCCAGGGTGAGCACTGAGGAGGGGAAGGATGGGGCCTAGTGGCGCTGGATCTGACCCTGAGACTGCCCTTCTCGGGAGCAAGCAATGGCATGGGGCACAGGGAGTTGGACACACAGTAGCATCAGTGGCTCTCTAAGGGTCTCCTCCCCTCTGGACAGGTGGCCCCTGGGAGTGCTCAACCCTGGCCAGCCCTCCGCTCCCTCCTCCACAGGAACCTGGTCCTCAGGACACACCAGCCAGCCAGGTGGGGCCAACTAAGGGGATACGGGAGGCAGGGAGGGGGAGCACGCATGACGTTCTGAGTTGGCCCCTGTGGCCACCCAGCAAATCCCAGGCCTCATGTTGTTGAGGTTGGGGAAGGGAGGCCTTACCCCCAGGAGCCCACACTGATGGAGTACCAGGAGGGTCTGAGAGACCGAGCAGTGGGTGGGAGGGAGGAGGGGGTGCCACAGGTTATTGGAGGAATAGAAAGGCTTTGCTGAGGACATGGCATTTGACGCAGCTTAGAATTCAGTGGGTAGAGATGTAGGAAAGGCGAATGCAGGAGGGACGGTTTGTCTGAGATGTACTTATTGCAGACCTGAGAAGTGGCCCTAGGGCAGGTCTCGAGGAAGCTAACCCGAGGGGCAAGAACATGGCGGGGCTAGGGGGGAGACGCTGGACTTGTCTGTGCAGGGTCGCGAAGGGGGTGGTGAGGCCAGCCTAGCTGGGGCATGCGGGAGAGCGTGCCAGATATGAGTGAAGAAGGGAGATCTGTGTTCCTCTCTTCCGCCTACCAGGTACTCACTGACCCCGGAGGGTCTGGAGCTGGCCCAGAAGCTAGCCGAGTCAGAGGGCCTGAGCTCGCTGAACGTGGGCCTCGGGCCAGAGGAGCCCCCTGGGGAGGAGCCT